ATATGAGCTGCTGGGCAAGGCTTGTGGAAAGTGTGGACAGGTCTTGACTACTACCAGACCTTGCAGCTATTGCCACTACTGCAGGGACACTTTACTGACAGAGTTACAACACAATATGCCTTCTAGTCTGCTGAGTGTTGACTGGACAGCCAGACACACCACAAAGGAGCTGGTGGCTACTGTTACAGTCGCTAATACCTCAGTGGGGAGTAACCAGCGTGTGCCTATGATACATCAACTGGGATATAAATTACTCAGGCCTCCTATGGCTGTGGTTGAGGCGAGAGAGTGAAGACTGAGAGGTCGAGAGAGATCTGGAGAGCTGCTCTACACCAGGGAGGATTCCTGCCATGGAGACTGATGAGCAACCTAGGGGTTCTTAGTGTCCCTAGCACCCTATGCCCTATGTCCAAGTAGAGATCCTGGGTGACTGTGAGTATGAACAACCTGCAGTGTCAGAAGGAAAAATAGCCTTGACACTAATTATTTAGAGAGACCATGGATATGCAGGGAGAGAGATAAGGAGGACTGGGAGTAAGCGGAGGTTCCCACCACTACTGCCCTGACACCTGCCCCTGAACCCACAGAGGCCTTGCCAATGACATTTTCTGCAGCCATGACTATCCCTGATTCAGTGCCATGCTCCTCCAAAGCTACACCAGAAGGGTAACATAGTAATCCTCAGAATGATTCACCCCCAATGGATTATAAACACAGACTACTGAGGTCTTTGTTAAGCAGTTACCTGATTCCTCTGTGCTGCCTGGGTGTGGGAACCCCTAAAGTGACCAAGCTAGCACACCTGCATAGAATTGTTAATAAGAGGGTAGCTCAAAAATATGCAGTACCTATATGTTCCAGAGGAGGGAGTGCCTAAACCCTACAGCTCTAAGGGACAGTGATCTATTTATGGAGACTCAACCACCTGTGGTTATGGTAGGGACATTTTCATGGACAGTCACCTTTTAAGACCCAGAAAGAGATTACCATCACCCCAGTAGACAAGAAAGGGGAGCCTGTCAAGCTGCCATACTCAAGATACTATTGGTAGACTGCTCAGGACTTTTTTTCCTGTTAGAGGTACCATTCTTATGTGATTTAATGCTGCTGCTAAGAATAGAAAGGCTGGCCCTTTGCTTGTTGTGCCAGTGGTAATAATGTGTTTATGAGGAAGAAGAATGTTGGCTTCTGTTTCTATGCAAGTGGTGTTACCATATATCCTTGGGTGACACATTCCCTTGGCTCCACAGAGAAAGGAAAATTACTTGTCCCCAGAGTCATCTTAAAATCTTTTTGATCTTGTGCTTTCTGTCCTGCAGCACCCACAATATGGAACTAACTGCCATCCATTGTCCGGGAAGCATCCTCTTTGGATGTTTTCAAAAGCAGACTGATTACACATCTATTCACCCAGGCTAATAGCAAAAACTGACAAATCTTTCTCCTCAAAGATCCCAAACACCAATCTGATTGGCACTTAAACTTCTCGGGGAGAAAATCACTATAGGTATATTATAATTATTATTATTATCAATTTTAGACTGCGACCTTATTGTTCATGGTTGCCAGTATTAACAACACATGTTTCCTGAGTACTACTACTCAGTAAACTACTGGCTTTGTTTCTTTTACTGGCAGTGGTAAGAAATGACAATGTGAACAGTTCCAACTAGTTGCAAAAAGGTCCTATTTTTGGACTCGGGGCTTCAAATTAGATTATATCTAGTTGTACTTAATCAGGATATGTTCTCTTCGCCGGAATGATCTCCATGATCACGCCATTGCATACACCTGATCTAAGTTAGTGTATAAAAGGACTTTGTGCTATGAGCTTATTAAGTCACGTGAAAAGCAAATTCCTGTTTACATAATTGCTCTGGGCATGATTGCATAATTAAAGTGTGAGTGGCTGATTGAACCTAAAGTAACACTAACCTCAGGAGTTAAATCCTAAAAATGCATTCAAGTACCTTAACTAATAACAATACTGTACCTTATTTGTGTATCACTCAGCTGTAGATCCTCAATGGTCCCCATGGTCCTTGTGTATGTTGTAAAGAAGCCCATGGCTCCAAGTTCGCTCCCTTGAAGGACTACAATCTCAATACAAATTAGTAAACTAAATGTGAGATTGTAGTCCATCATGGTAGTAAGCTAGCATGGAGCGGTGACTACTTTACAACACACACAAGGACCATGGAGAACAGAAGTAGCCACCCGCCAGAAGGAAGGGCAGTGTCAGCACAAATTCAGAGATGATTGGAGAATCTACAGGGTACAGTATTGTAAGGCACTTGAATGCATTTTAAGGATTTAACTTCTGACTTTAGCATCACTTTAACTGCCTCATTGAATAATTTGCTTGACAAGCTAATCAGAAAATCATGTCAGAGCTCCATCATTTACTACAAGGGTTTACTACAAATCATGTCAGAGCTCCATCATTTACTACAAGGGTCTGCCCTAAAGAGCCAATTTGTTGGTAGATCATTGGACCTTTTGATTTGTATTTAATTAATTAATCTTTTTGTTTGATTGTATTTCTGTTTTTCTTTCCATCTGCAGAGTTTTCTTTATTTTATTGGCTCATTGGCTGTGGAGAAGGAAAATAAAGGAGGGCATGCAAGGCAGCATGGGAAAATCCCCCAAGCATCAACAGGAACAGGAAATGGCACCAGAACAACAAAAAGCATTTCAATCCTTGTTTTGGCACCTCTGGCCACAACTATAAAAGAAAATATTTTTCAATAAAAATTAACTCTTAAATTCTATTTATCACAAAGCTGGAATAATGGAAAGGTAAAACACCACAATGCACTGTGGATATATAAGGGATATAAACCTCCTAAAATAATGCAAGTCTTGGAAAATTATGTTCTTTCTGCTGCTCTTGACGTTGTACCAGAACCAGCAAACACAGAAGTTAGGTGCTATTTTCCTATCAGAGGGCCCTGGCAATATTTTGTGGTTGCAGGGCACTTTGCTAAGAATCAGAAGGCTGTAGTATACAACATGGTACTGTATTGTATATATTTCAACCACTAGGTGGTAATGATGTGTCATATGTTGCATTTAAAGAGGCTGTCTCCAATACTCCAATACTGAGTCCAAGTGTTTTCTTTTTCTGAGTTGCCCAGCAGCAAGGTTCTCATTTGTGTATATATTCATTAGCTACCAAAAATGAATCCTCACAAGGTTATAATAAATTAACAATTTATCTTTCATGTTTAGGTTGCATGATGAAATGCCTGTAGATTGTATGGTTTAGTATTATGTAAGCAGAACAGGTAATATTGAAAGGTTAAGTCTCACATCAGATTAAAAGAACTTTCTTTTCTCTCACTAGAAAAAAAGAACTACAACTGCTAAAATCATGCCCACTATATGTACTGCTTAAAATCTCAAATAAATATGTGCTGTTACAGTTATTGTATAAAACATTACACAATGCATAGTCATGGTTAATATTTCTATTAATGTGAAGTGAGAATATATATAGTTAATTTCCTTAAGCATTACTAGCATATTGTCAGTGTAGCTGGTTAATATACTGCTATCTTCTGAAATTTTGGTTATAGCACCATCCTTTTCTGTGTTCCTCCCATTTTATGATGTATTTCCCTTTCTTCATCACATGTCGCTTTGTTTCATTTTTACATTTACATTTTTGTCATTTTAGACTGGGGTGCCTTGAGATTTTGCATACTTTTAAAAGCTACTGTGACTGGACAAAGGTTGAGAATCACTTTCTTAGACTCCCAGAAACCAAGGGAGAAGGGGCTGCAGGGACCAGTCTAGCAGCCCGGTGGGACCATGGATCAGGTGAGTATATCTTCTTTTATCCAATCCCTAGACCAAAACAAGCAGTTAACCCTTGCAGTGGGGGGGGGGGGTGCAGCCCCGCTGCAAGGGTTAACTTTGTTGATTCTACTTTGAAGTGTGATGATGGGGCTAATTTGAACTGTAAGGGCTTGTTCACACCAAATGCTGTGAGTTCCACAGCAGTAGCTGCTGCAACGCACAGCAATCCCACCTAGAACTTCACCCTTCGTTCTAGGACGGGATAGGACGTGGTGGTGCATTGAAGTCAATGGCACTTCAGCCATGCCTGCGTTCTGGTCCACCACTGCGAACGCAAGAAATAGAGCAAGCAGCATTTTTTTGCGTTCGCAGTGGAACGGAATGCAAACAATGTTTTGCCACGTGTCTGATCGCACTGCAGACGGGGGGGATGCGTTCCAGCCTCGTTCACACCATACTCAGTACGTTCCGGCCTGATTGTGGCCAGAACGCACTGGATCGCATTTTGGCCAGCTCAGTTTGTTGTGGGGCGGGAGGGGGAGTGGTGGTGCATTGAATGAATGGCACCGCAGCCAACCCCTCCGGCCGCAATGCAATTGGCCACATGGAAACGCAAGACACATCAATGCCACCCCCTCCCGCTCCTCAACAAACTGAGCCAGCCACAATACGATCCACTGCGTTCAGGCCACAATCAGGATGGTGTGAACGAGGCCTCCAGCAGCTACCGCTCTGGAACACACAGCAATTGGTGTGAACAAGCCCTATGTGATGTATTTGTTATTTATATAATTTAGCTGTGTAGCCTCTGTGGTAACATGTTTACAAATTACTGTTTCAAAAAAGTATTGCTAACCATAACTCTGATTCATTATCACCAGAAATATTTACATATCTACAATATAATGTTATTATGTGATTTTGTGAATAGGTCTTTTTTTCTAGTATTTTAATTTGGAATATGATAACTCTTTAAACAGACAATCATCAATTAGAAAATACTTGCAGAGAAAGACAATGTCTGCAGAAATACTGTATCTTGCATGTCATGTAACAATGAATGCTGTTCATTCTCCTTTTTGGCATGTTGAGAAACTATTGGTGCCCAAAGTTTGCCCAGCCCTGTGTTCATGTGATCAGTTCAGATGATTAGATGGCCCTGCAGCTGCCTCTTACTATGGGAGGTGACTGCAAAAGGCAAGCAGCATGTGACACAAAGAGAAGTTCCTGCCCTCCTTTACATTAACACACAATCTGCTTTAACTGAGAGTCCAATCCAGATATTCCTTGCTGCATCCAGTGAACAGGTAATTAAGACCCACGCTGAGAGATTGTACAGGTTTTCCTTCTTTTATATCTAACTCAAAGCTATCAGGTGCTCATATACGCTTCATGTAACTTACAGAATGCCTTACCTAGTGAAAGTGTGAAGTTTATTACTATGTCATTTTATGAAATGTATGTAAAATATCATTAGGATGCAAAGATGATGTGGAAAAGACTAAAGATGCATACATTGGAAAATATTCAACTACTGAAAGCAAAGTTTGTGTCCTGTTAGTGCAGCGGCTGTGATCTTAGAACAGAGATAGCTCAGCTTCACTGAGCTGTAAAGATGTGGTGTGAGAGTTAAAGTGTAATCCTATAGTATAACCAGCATTGTGTATATAGCATAATGTTGTACGATGTTCACCTCTAAGAACATTAAAATTATACCTCTTAGACTTAGAATGCAAAGTGTATTCAAACATATAATGTGCACACTACCATTGCAGGACTGCTTCAAAAGGCTATACCCACAGTGCCCAAAATCACGCTGGCACCAGTACATGATATGAGCTGATTGCAATTGTATGGTTGCGTGATACGTAAGCCTTGAGAAAGGGGCAAGACCCCTGAAAAAAATTGCCTTTAATTATACTTAAACTCTGCATAATATCTAAATGTAGGTTTAACTGTAAAACACCTGCAGTTATTCATGGTCTTTTTGTTTTAGAATTCTTTTCGGACACAAAATAATCAATATTAATCAATACTAATTAATAGAGTTATTCCTCCCATAACTGGCATTTCTGTTTAGTAGATGATTGAGAGCTTATCCGGCTCTACCTATACCTAAAATATCACGTTTGGGTAGACTAAAACTTTAACATTGACATTGTATGGCATGGTTGTGCAATAATATTGATACAGAAGGCTATTTAGATGACCCCTGCACAATGTTTTTTAGCCTTTTATATACTAATACATCATTTATTTGTTGAAAATCATATACTTATAGATACTTGCAGGCTTTTTTCTTTGCACACCTTATTTTTCTTTTCTTCCGCAGTCTTTTCACGGTGGCCATTTTCACCAAGGGCAGACGAATTCATCTCCCTTTACTTCCTGGGTCTCTGGCACTTGTGACTGGAACATGTGACAGTGCATATCATCTCAGGGGGAAAATGCCTTTCCCTGAGATCTTGCAAGATTTAGCAGGTTACAGATGAGATTTCTCAGAGAGGCCCTGGTGATGTAGCCTTCCCATGATGCATCTGTGAGGCCAGGGCTACATTACTAGTGCCCCACTCAACCAGGAAATGGAAAACAGTACTTTGTTTAACTAATGACTGTATAATGATTTCATGTCAGCATGCAGAGGGGATAAAGTTCCACTTTAAGAAATAATTTTGGATGCTAATGTAGTGCCTAAAAAAGTAGCACAATATCACAATAATGTATTTATTACTGGTATTTATATATCGCTGACAATTTACGCAACGCTTTGCCACTTTTTGAGATGTAGAAGATTCTTGTATTTGATTTGGAGCAGAGTGTGCGATGTTGAGCCAGCAGTTTTTTCTGTTTTTTAATAGGTTTTTAAACAATTTACTTGAATTCATACCTTAAAACACCAATTGCATCCATTTCTCACTGTAGGCTCTTTCTTGAAGCGTTGTAGCACTAATCATTGTCAGTCCTTTGAAACCACTTTAATTCATTAAGTATATCCAAAAGACTCAATTCATTAGTCAATAATGATCTCTACTTGTCCTAATGATTGTTTTTACAGCAATGAGAGAAAATCAGAACTTAAAATAACAAGCACATGGCTTAAAATAACAACCATTATGGCAAATAATTCAGCCAACCATCTGATGTAACTTTACTATACTTTTCTTTCTAGATATGTGCCGTATAGTTGGGATTGTTGATAGCAGTGTTTGGCGGGGAGGGGGTGTTTGTGGTAGAGAGAGCATACTGATTTAATACATAGTTCTGAAGTGTCTTCTTCATGGGCTCCACATTACATTATGGAGAGAACTAGTATTGTGAGTTGTCGACACGTGGCCAAATGTTTAATAGAGCAACTGGTAGTTGAGCACCCGAAAGCTGGTGTAAGAGACACAGTGGTTTAGTGGTTAGCACTTGTGCCTTGCAGCACTGGGGGTCCATGGTTAGTATCCTGGTCAGGACACTATCTGCAAGGAGTTTGCATGTTGTCCCTGTGCGTGCTCCGGTTACCTCCCACACTCCAAAAACATGCTGGAAGATTAATTGACTCCTGTCTTAATTGGCACTAGTATCTGTATGCAATAGGGACCTTAGGTTGTAAGCTCCTTGAGGGCAGGGGCTGTTGTGTATGAGCAGTATGTAAGGCGCTGCGTAAATTGTCACTGCTAAATAAATTCCTGTAATAAATGCCCAATTGAGTTTGGAAATTACAGAATGTTTTGCCTGGTAGAGCAACTTTGCAGTTTTAATTGCTCTTCCTCTTTTCTAGTATTTGTTTACTTTAGCCTGCTTTTTATAGATCAATATTTAGTTTATGTTAACACCAAAAGTTTAACAATATCTTTTAACTGTCATGTATGCTGAATATGACAAACTCATGGGCATTATAAAGGCAAACAAATCTTCATGGAATTTATATAAGTACACTATATTCCACAGCCATATACTGTTCCATATATATATAAAAGTATTAATATTCCTAGTTCAAAATCATGGACAGTGTGAGCAACACCATATTCAAGCATCACATGTTTTAGATGTGTAGTTGATTTTGTTTTACTTAAAGTAACACTAAACTCTAAACTCAGGAGTTAAATCTTACAAATGCATTCAAGTACATTAACTATTAACAAAAATGTATCTTATTTGTGTATCACTCGGCTGTAGATTTTCAAATCATCTCTGAATAGGTGCTGACACTGTCCTTCCTTCCGGCTACTTTTGTTCCCCATGGTCCCTGCATGTGTTTTTAAAGTAGTCACCGCTCCAAGTTCACTCCTGTGATGAACTACAATCTCATCACGGGAGTGAACTTGGAGCGGTGGCTACATTACAGCACACACAGGGACCATGGGGAACAAAAGTAGCCTCCCTCCAGGAAGCACAGTATCAGCACCAATTCAGAGATGTTTTGAGGGTCTACAGCTGAGTGATACACAAATAAGATACATTTTTGTTAATAGTTAAAGGAGAATTATGGGGGTGAGTGGAAAACACTCATCCCCATAATTCAAGCCAACCTGTGACACTGAAGCTGTCACAGGTTGGCTCTATTGATCGGGAAGTCAGCGAACACATACCACTGATCGTTGGCTTCCTGATCCTCTACCTGCAGAGAGCGGTGACTGTCAGTCACCACTTCCTGCAGGGATTCCCCCTCTCTGATCCCCCATCGCTGACTGGAGGGTTGGTAAGGGGAGGGGGCGGACACAGCTGGCTCTGCCTCTAGAGAGGAAATAGCCAACTATATACTGAGTTTTGGGTCACCGGAGGACATATGTTCTCCTGTGACCCTGAAGAGAACTATGGGCAAAAAAGGTAAGGCCATAGTTCTCTTTTAAGGTAATTGAATGCATTTTCTAGATTTAACTCCTGAGTTTAGTGTCACTTTAAATACAGTGCAGCAACTTTTGAAATGTGATTTATTTCCATTAGACACCTGATTCTTTATCAAGTGGTACTAGGCCTGAACTAACCAGTAAATGTAGCGATCAGATTTAGTTTACTCCTAAAAAAATAAAAGACATCAACTTTGTACAAATTGGCTAGTGGCACAACAGTTTGGAGACACAGCAGTTCTTTTTAGGACTACCTTTTTGTGTGTGCCATGATCAACTGTACCTGCTCTTAACTGCTGCCCACTTCCATTAGGTTAAAAAAAATGGGTTGAGGTTTAGTGTTTCAGGGTTTGTTTTTTTCACGGCAGGGAAGGGGGGGTATTTTAATTTTCAGCCTCCCCTTGCAGTTGTGTTTTAATTTTTTTTTTTTCAATTGTTGTTATAGTTTTTATTTTCCTTTACATCCCACGTATCCATATTCTCTTGCTTTCTGCTAGGCAAAAAAAAAATGAGTTGGGGGTTTAGTTTTTGGAGGATTATATTTTATTTTATTTTATTTTGGCTGGGTATATTTAAGTTAATAATTTTTTTGCTAGTGCATTCTTTTCTATCTTGGGGTGCGCAGCTTAAATGTTTTGCTGACACAGGCAAAATTTGCAGCATGACATTGTATACTTGTGTGCACGAAGCATGACATATTTATTCGCTATTGCCATAGCTGCCATTACATTTAGGCAATCCCATTTAAAAAGAAGGTCAAGCAGGCCTAAAATGAAGAGCAGAGGTTCTGCTCACGGAGGTAGTTGGGGGTGAGCAGGTTCTGTCTTAGAGTGGCCATTCCATACAACCTCAGCGCACGCCGGAAGTAGTTGAGAGCCTGACAGAGGTTGCTTTTTTTCCTCCTCCCAGGCACAGTGCTACCAGTTGTCTGCAACTGCAAAGAGAAGTTGGCAGCATTATTTGATGACACAATCACTGGCTTGCTGCAAGAGCATGACCTTGGTCATGCACAGGCATTTCTCCTTTCAGATTTTGAGGATGAAGATGATGGTGGGCCCAGAGAGAGGGGACATCAGGCAGGCACCAGTAAGTGGCAGTGATGTTCCAGCAACTGGAGACTACTGTAAAATTGGCTTCAGCGATTAGGAGGGGGGTAAATGAGTAAGTGGCACACTTGCATGGGGTGCCACTGACTTGAGAGAACAAAAGTTCTGAGGGAGAGGCAGGCTAGTGTGAGGGAGAATTTTGTCCATGGGCAGTGGCAGGAGAGCCTACAGAGGACTGAAAGGAGCATCTGCCCACAGGTACAGGACACTGCTTTCTACAGGGTAAGTCCACTGCTTTCTACAGGGTAAGTCCACAAAGATCTGCGGTGTAGGCCTTTTTTAACAAGTTGGCAGCCTCTGCCTGCAGCATATCAGCCGTGGTGAAAAAATCCATCCATTTGAGCACTACATGCACGAGGAAACACATGACACTGCACTATAGAGCTCAGTGGAAGCATAACCTCAATGAAACAAGGTGGTCGCAAAAGACCCGGATTCCTCCTCCTCCCCCTTTTACATAATTCTCCTGCTGCATTAGCCGCAACATCAGTGGCCTCTAGTGACAGGGAGGGGAAGTCTTTCAGATGAAAATTCAGCAGTCACTGTCAAAAGTTCCATACCCTACTAAAAGTGTATGTTTGTTCTTGTCTTTGTACATATTAGAGGGATTTCCTATTACTTCCTGTTCCCAATAGGGACTCAGATAGCAATACAAACCTGACAGAGGGTCTAAGCATTTCCCGCTCTATATGAAATAAAAATAAGAGTTTTGACTGGCATTAGGCTTTAAGGGTATATTGGTTCATTATACATATTCAAGACCGGAAAAGTTAATTTTATTTTGGTTTATAATTCTTTTTTTTTGTGTATGACTAAACTTTAGGGTGTTTTTCATTTATAAATGTGATTGGTTCCTGCTCCCAAAAATACCACACATTTTTGGATGCAAAACATTATGCAAATGCAGAACATTAATATTCTGTGCTCACTGTCAGTGGCCAGAGCACCCCTGATAGTCATTTTGCAATTTGGTTCTTTTTTTTTCCTTTAAGTGGAACCTTCTCTTCCTCCCCTTTGGTCAGTAGCATCATCCTTGACCTCTCCAGTATCAAGGGCATAGCAGGAATCAAAAGGACATCTTTGTTAAGCATGCAGTGATGTTGCAAGCAAAAAATCCCCACTGCCAACGTTGGCATTCAGAAAGTATACCCACATACAGTACAATTGTAATTCGAAGTATAAATTAGTAATTATTATTACACAATGTATGATTTGGCGCCTATAAGATTAAATGCAGATCAAGGCATTGTAAGTCAATAATGGGGAAAGATCGGCAACAGGGAGCCTACAGGCTCCTTTGCCCTCTCCTTTCCTTTTTTTAGCTCCGTTTCCAGATTTCTGGACCTCTTTAATTTCATGAGCACCAGCGTTCAGTAAAAACATGGGATGCACTGAAAATGCTGAGTGGGAGAAGGATGTGTTCAGGACCTGCCTCCTCCCTTACCAAGTTCCATAGAACAATTGTACTGGGCAATTAGCCATCATTTAGCTACCTGATAAAACAAACAGGACAGATGAATGAGTAAACACTGTGTTCCCTGAGGAAGAAATAGAGCAGGAGAATAATAGCCATGTAACTGAAAATCCTTTGCATGATACTGCTGCAAACTAATACAGTAAATTGTGGTTTTAGTTGTCAGGCAAAACTGAAAATAAAATCTCAGTATATCTACAGGAGGCACAGGTACAGTCAAGGTATAGCTGCACTGCAGCAAATACTCGCTACTGAAAATAGCATTGTTATCTGTTATCTGGTGGGCTTGATGTGCAGGCCAGGAAATTTCAAAATTCACATTTGAAAATCCTTTGTGTATTACAGAAAAATGAGCGTTGCAGCAAACAGAATCATACCGCCATCTTCTGAGATGGGAAAGAGGGACACCTTCCAGCACAATGTATTTAGGCAATGGACAAACCGCTACCATGTCCCCAGTTATACCGACCAAATAATTAAAAGATATGATAAAGTTTTTAGTACATAATAACATAAATGATAGTTACATAGAACCTTTTTGTAGATATCTGTACACCACACGAAAAAAGGGACAACTGAGGAGGTAAGAGGGACAGAGGGATTTGGTTCTGAATGAGGGATAGTTGGAAAGTATGCAGAATCATCTGACAAGCAGATACAGTTCCGCACAGACGCTCACTTGATAGTTTGCTGAATCTGGTTGCATAAGAATGAGTCAACTTTCTGTGCAAAGTTATAATGTTTCATTTAGTAAAATATTACCTGAGATTACATTCATGTTATCATGCACAGTAAGCTTCTTGAACAAGTCGTTCAAACACTATTATTAATCTTATTTTTATTAATTTTATTATTACCTGTAAACAGGATGGCCATGGTTATTTCATGGGTTTTACATTACAGGAACATTATGCATCCTTGGAAAAATACCGTACCTCCCAACTTTCTGAGACTGGGGGGACATTAGTAGTGACTCCCCCTGATTCTTACTCCCCCTCCCCACATCCCTACCACACCCACACCATGATTAATTTATACGGCAAAAATGATTGGTTAAACCCTAAATTGTCTTTTTTCGCCATAGCTTCTCCTTTTATACAAGCTTTTTAAAATAATATAGTGTTCAGTTGTGAAATAGTACACTTTTATAGAGCTCTATACATCAGACCAAAAAGAGGGACAACTGAGGAGGGAAGAAGGACAGATGGGTTTTATTCCAAAAGAGAGGCAGTCTGTCCAAATTAGGGACAGTCAGGAGGTGCGCATACACAACTATGTACACTACAATAACACCCTGTCTGATCAAAGCTCCACTTCCTCAACTACAGCCTAGATTGGACCTGGCCATGTGCTGGTAATGGTTGTAATCTTCCTGGGATGAGGAGTTTATCCCAGCTCACTGTAAATTTGCAGTGATGTATAATATGGCACCACTGGATGTTTGTGATTATACTTTAAGCAGTGGCAGCTGGGAGGGACATTGTAAAGTGTACTGCTTAACAGATGATTCCTCTGATCACATTTGCCTACGACCTACAGTATATGATAAGTAACCATGTTGTAGAATGAAAAAACTCACAACAGGGCGCAAAAACTTGTAGGGTAAGTGATTAAAACATTGGTGTTGGCAGATTGTATTAAAAGATGTTGTAGACTATTATGATCAATTCAAGACACAGACTTTGGCACAGATGGCACAGATAGCACGTGTTGGGGTGGCCTCTAACTAGACTGTTTACACTTGTAAATGCTCCTATTTCATTGTCATTTCTGTTTGCATTTATGGATTGCAAACAAAAAAATTGTAAGAACCATATTATCAGTAGTAAAACTGAGCTTTATGGCTATAAGGACATGTTGTGCTGTTTTCCCATAGGTATAAATAAGTAATACAAAGTCTTATCCTTTACTGTAATGTCTGAAAAAACACGTCAGTGGTAATCATATTGCCATGGTTCATCCCTTGTTGTTGCAAATGTTGTTCCATATACAGAGCCTCTGGGCAGAACACTAACAAAATAACATAGACAATGTAATCACATTTGAAGGGATTTAGCTACAGAGTGTGTGTGACAAGGATGGTATGTGATAGGCTATATACTTTTAATACGCATCACTTAAGATGACAATGAGTCTATTCACAGAAATTACATGAACTTGGCCACATGCTGTCTTCAGAAATCATCCCCCTGTGGTATGACCATCAGCTGACTAACTGAGCAGTTTCGGTCAAAAGTCAATCCAAACTTGAGTGGATTTAAAGTGACAGGCTCAGTAAATATTTGGGAAAAGCATACATATCTTGTTAACACCTAACCTTGGACGTGTGTGATACAACTACCCTCACCCCCATCCTCCCTTCCCTAGCATCTAACTGGCAATTATATGCATTCATAAGAAAAAAGCCTTTCAGCTAGACTTTATCAGTGTGCTCTGTGTCTATTCATTTCCTGTAGTTTCTTTTAACAGTAATTTTATCATTCCACATCTTCAGAAAAAGTCATGCGGGGATTATACAAACAATCTAGGTCAAGTTTTTCAGCTTTTTTTTTTTTTCATTTTTTCTTAAACTATGTTGTACATCAAGGAACATCTGTCCTTAGCAAACAAAGCAAACAAAGCTGTTCAGTCACATTTCCACTTTTCTTATACCACAGGGCTCCTGTTTCTGTCGTTGCTGACTTCATTGGCAATTGTCATGGGAAGGAAGCTGGACTTGTCCAAACTGAGCGATGAGGAGGCCAAGCATGTATGGGAGGTCGTCCAGAGAGACATGAGTTTGCGCAAGAAAGAGGAAGAGCGACTTGAGTGAGTAGACCACGAATAGAATAATATACAGATAAATGGAAAGGGGGGTTTTGCCTCTGGGAATAGCAATCTGATTCTATCTATAGAAAATCCAGATCAGGAGGAGTCACTACTTACTGATGAATAGATGAACATTTGGTGTAGGCTAAGTACTAAAGCTGACCTTGCAGTACAATGCAAGGTGTGCTTATTAGGTCTGGGCCCACTCCCTCGGTAAAAATGGATGCCTCATAGTACTGAAACATGTATCCGTAAAGAAAAACATTATAGTACACACTTATGCCACTCCTATCTTCTGCATTGCAGAGTGTGACATTATTATCCTTCCGGCAAAATTCCTGGGTAATGCAGAGCTGTTTGAATTTAATGAGAATGCACTCCTGATGAGATTTGGACTGCGTCTTCATGTGGAATTTGGGCTGCTTTGCATTCCCTAGGATCTCATTGGAAGGAGTGTGATGTCATCACACCGAGGAACTACAGGCAAAAGAAGGGGGTAATGTAATTATATAATATAACTCTATTTTTACAGGTACCTTTTTTCAGTACGAGTCAGCAATTTATCACAGGGAGGGTGGTCTGACCTAGTAAGCAGACCATGCGTTTTACTGCAAGGTCCTCATTAAAGGGTGACCTCTGTTCATACTCTTTTTCTGTGGCTTAATAGGAACCAGTGTGAGTTACTAAAACATCATGTACTGCAAGGGCTTTTGAGTGAGGACAGTGCAGGTATATTTCCCTGCTGTATGGTATGTTGGCTCTCAGACATACCATAAGCACAATTTTTCCACCTGTCATTAAAATCAATCTTATGAATATTAATTTCTGCTGTCGTTTCTGCAGTGAAAGCGTGAAAATTATCCATTTGCACCAAGCAAAATATTAGTATACAGATGGCATTCTTTAGGGCTAATGTTTTTTTTTTTTTTTTTAACCTTCTTAGGGTCCCCCTTAAAATTCCTACTAGGCCTAAAGGGTCTGATATGAATTGCCAGGGGAACCGCACGCTATTTTTTTTTTTTTTACATAGGGGGTCCTCCCTAACATTTCTAACAGACCTAAAGGGTCTGTTATTAATTGTCGGGGAACCGCACGCAGTTTTTTTTAATTATTATTATTTCTGAGGACTGTTTAACACTTTAGTGTATTCTGTAACACCTGTCAGATTCTTTGTTTACATTTGGGATGCAAATTGGAATGTCAGCAAAGAATCAGAGAGCTGCTACAGAATAACACACAGCTCTCAGCTTTTTTCTTTGTTTACATTTTGTAACAACATTCTGATACTTTGTTTACATTCGGGATAAGAGTCTAGAATGTCAACAAAGAGCAAAGAAGCCAAAGAGCCTTAAATGACACACAGCCCTCCCGCTTCTTTCCTTTATTCCGCATGAAATTTGGATGTATCCGAATTTCGATATCAAACATTTGGATATGTTTGGATTTGTTTTTTATGTCATTCAGAAATTCGGATGCATTCAAATGTCCCAATTTACAGAAATTCTAACGAGTTTCAATTCGGAACTAAAGAAATCACACATGTCTACTAATGGTTGAGAACCCATGGACTAGGCCACAGTTGGCCCTAAAGGTCCATTTTTTTAAATTGTTTCACTGAGGCCTCCTCACTGTTGGGAAAGATATGCAAGGCAGGGTGGAATACAATCCAGAGACACACAGGCACTGCCTACACTTAAACAGCTAGTGCTCAAATGTACGAACTAGCAAGGTGGACCTGTGCCCAAACTATATGCAAAAGTATCTACATATTCTGAACTAGCAGTAAAAACACTTTAAACCAAGCCCTCGGCCATCTTGTAGTTTACAGGCATTGTGAAGAAATAATTTTCAGAGTTTACATCAGAACAACTGAAACCACATATCTTTTCATCTTTACTTTCAATGGAGATCAGAATCTTGGCAGACGGCCATCTTTCCAATGTAAACACACAGCAGGTGTTTCTAAGCTGGTTGTGATATTTGAGGAACTTTGAGTACGAATTACTTCACACTAAATACATCTGCAGGGACGGCTTGTTTTAAAGCTCTTATTTCTTAAGAATATTTTAATACTTTAATGTCCATAGTCTGGGCTACAACTCTAACCAAACAGGTCAATACATCACTAAGTACACAGGATAAATTCAGCCTTCATTAAAATCTTCTTAGCCCTGCCCTCCTTAGCCCCCCTAGCCTAGCCGTACTCCAGCACTAGAGAAACTAGGGGTGTGGTCCTTTTCAAGTCCAGCACAGATAAGTGAGTTATAACATGTCTTTTTTTTTGGCAACATTGTGGCCTATTGTATAAGTTTCTAGATATGATCTACTGGATTGTTGCATTGGCACAATGGCCTTGTAACATTGTTTGCAGTCAGACACATTGTGACTTATCTGAAGATCCTAAAGTGATTGAACTGTTCCCGTTGAGGATACAAAGTGTTGAAAGATTCTAACTGCATCATTTGAGCTACATTACAGTGTGAGTGCTTAAGGCTCCTTTCCCAGGGGCTGATTAAGAGGGGATCCATGCAAGCATTACCCCCTGATCAGAGCAATACAGATCGGATGTCACCAGTGTGACATCTGTGTCTGTCTAGTTTTTTTCTCCATCTTGCAATGGAGGAAAAAACTGAGATGACCGGACCCCATGTCAGTCTATGGGGATTCAGATGTAAATGAACAAGTGATCCGGCACGATCAGGTCTTTTCGAAAAGAAACACTGGTCTGTTTGTTTTCCCGGACCTGGCCGGAGTCGGGGCTAAATGGTTATAAACGGATGCCCGTCTGTCTACACACAGCTGCCCATAGACTAGCAATTGGACATCCGATTGGGTCTGCTTGAAAAACTGACAGGCGGACCCAGTCAGACCGCCCGTATGAAAGTGGCCTTACATTACCATCTCTGAATAATGTGCTCATAATGCATGTGAATAGAAGCAATGGTGGCTAACTTTCTTGATACAGGGCGGCCTCAAGTGTGGCACCTGACATCACCAAAGGACCACACATAATATTTAGTGAATGTAATGCTGTCAAAAGCTGTCAAAGACTGCAAACATACAACAGGAGCTGGTTAAAGACTGTGGACATGCTACAAGAGAGGGTTAGAGACTGAGAACATTTTATAAAAGTTGCTTCAGGAGGCAGTCATACACTGGGGACATACTGCTAGAGATCACTGCTATTAAACCAGTTTAGAAATCAGTGCTTCCATTTATGTGTTCTCTTCAGCCCCTTCAAAAATGACTTGTGCCACATTTTTCATATTTCTCTCAGCAAGATCCATTATGAAAGATCAGAGGAAAATCGAAAGAGAAAAAAATGGTTAGCACAGAAAAAGTAAGATAGTGTGAAAGAAATAAACCAACCAATGTAACTGCTATGATATTTTATATTATATTTATTCACTGTCTTAAGTAAGTACTGTCTGCAGTGGCCCAGAGGGTCAAAGGGCCATATGTTGGCACTGGGCCACAGGTTGGGCACCAGGAGACTAAGGTCTGCTGCACTCGGTTTGCTGGCTCCGTCCTCCCCCCACTGCCTCGTATCTCTCCTCGCTGGCTGCTTCAGGATGGAGAAACTAAACTAAACTCAAACTAAACCTGCCGCTCCGTGTAAACAGTGACCCTGAAAGACATGTTGAGACTTGTAGTTCTTGAACATTATCCAAGCCCTTCAAAGGGTTTTTTGATATATGTAATATTTAATACCAACAAGTAATCAGAATGTACAATAACAAAATGCTGGTAATAAAAATTACAAGTTCATGGAGAGAAAGAAGTGCATTCCACAGCTTTCCTTAACTACAAAACTTATCCTACTAACCAAACACTGTAACTACTCCACCCTGCTCAAACCCAAAAAGCAAACAGCTCCTGGTATAAGCTGCAGAGAAGAATGATTCATCATCGGAGAACAATGCCAGCACCAGACTGCTTCCAGAACTGTACCTGAGCACAGTGCGCAGTGTAACAATTTCCAGAATACTGTTACTGTACAGGAGGACATGACATTGTCACTGATGAAGTCATTTTAGACTTGTTACCCGTTGATTTGATTGAACTCATATTGACCATTGTATCTTTTACCATACTTAAAGTTTATGGTGGTTTTATTGAATAACTTGTATACTGTGAGATTCTCACAAATGTGGCAAGTTCATTTTGTGATGAGTCTGGAAAGGAGTATTTTGGCCATGTTTAGCTACAAAGAAGAAGAGACGTTACGATAATGGGAAATGGGAAACAAAACACATGTGCCAGAACTATAAGATTGTAACATTGTTGTTTTTAAATAAAAAATATTTGTATTATTGTCTGCAGCCTTGATGTCATCACCAGCTCTTAATCTATATCTGTCTAAAGGTGGCCATAAACCTTAAAAATATCGTTCGATTTTCGTCCGCGATATGGGTTTTGTCCGTTCATGAGCAAGTTGATGGGAAGTGCACGATCGCAATTACTGTACAACTGGCCGAATTTCATTGAACGGGTAGACTAGGAAACTTTTGTCGAAACAGACGAAAATCGATAGATTAGTGGTGCTTCGCACAGCAAAAACCGCAAGATGAACACTGTACATGTGCAAACGAAAATCTGTTCTTTTGATCGATGAAATTCAGCCAGTTAGTATTGCTGATGTACAATAATAAAAAACTACATTATTCTGTCTATGATGGGATATTTGAAGAAAAATCGGACCAGGGTGCGGTGCCGAGACAAAAAAAAATTGTTCAGTGGTTGTAAGGTGTATGGCCACCTTTATGCAACTTCTGCTGTCTGTATTAAAAGATCAGTGCTTTTCTAGGTTGGTCCACATTCATCCTTCCAATGAGGACCAGCCCAGGTCTCCTATGGTCAGTTTGAACAAAAGAAAGGGTAGCTGAACTCAAGTATAATATGCAGCTTCTTTATTGTAGTGAATTAGGTATTCCAGAAATACATTAGCCACTTGCCGTCCGGAGCAATTTCTTAATTTTTGCACACACATGATAAAATCTGAATTTTTGGCTAGAAAACAGCTTAAAACTAAAAATAATAATATATTTTCTGAAAGCAGAGGCCCTGTAGAATAAAAAAATGCTAGCTGCAATTTTTCATGTTGCACAATATTTGCACAAATGTTTTCTAAACCAATACTTTAGGATAAAAAATCTAAAATTAATTTTCGTGCACAAAAATAAAATATAATACCCAATGTGTTGGTAAAATATAAAATAAATGGAAAACACAAAAAGGATAAAGCGCACTCCTGTGGGGTAGGCAAACTTCAATTAGGTGGCTGTTGTGTGTAGGTGTGCAAAGCTCCTCGCTACAGGGGGAGGACCCTGTCTATTCACAATTACAGATTTAAAAACAAAAAAATCAGGAGCGCAACTACCAAACGTGGTGTGAGTGGATTTGATTTTGCGAAGGGCCCAGTGGATCCATGTAATAAGGAGTGTTGATAGATCTTTGAGTGTGGAATCTGGGTGTCTATGGCAATGTTACAGCAAACAAAAAGGACTTACGGTTAGGAGCTCCCCCGTTGTCTGTGCGACCCCCTCCTTGGACAGATCCTGACTCGAAGAGATGTCCCCGGTGGGGTAAGAGGCTGGTCCAGTCTGGGTGTGCATCCGTATGGCCGCCCACGTTCTCGGCTGGTCGGGCCGAGCCGCGTCGTCAGGAACGGATAAAAAGGGGGAGGAGCTACACGCGGCTGAAGGACGCCGTGCGCCGTGTGTCAGTGTTGGTCATAGGGGTCTAATAATGTCGGGTGTCTCCAGTGGCTACGTGTTTCGAGGGGTTACCTCTTTATCAAGCCTCAAGCTCCTAACCGTAAGTCCTTTTTGTTTGCTGTAACATTGCCATAGACACCCAGATTCCACACTCAAAGATCTATCAACACTCCTTATTACATAGATCCACTGGGCCCTTCGCCAAATCAAATCCACTCACACCACGTTTGGTAGTTGCGCTCCTGATTTATTTTATTTTTTTTGTTGATTTTTTTGTTTTTAAATCTGTAGGTAAAATATAAAAGATGGGTTTGTGTCTGGTAAACAAATACCAAACATATCAGGCCTTACAATTGCGTGTCCCCTGTGAAATGATAAAAAACTACAATCTCCAAAATTGCCCATAGGTGATCCTTTAAAAGCTTTTACCACTTGTTAGCTTAGTGGTAACAGTGATTGATGGCCCTAGAATTATTGCTCTCACTCTGTGGAGATATGTAACATGTGGGGCGCAATCATCATTTTCGCACGTAAGTGCCCCCGACGCATGTTTGCATTTGTTTATGCATGCACATGGTTGTGGGGGACTTTAAAAAAAATTTGTGTTATTTTTTTTCTTTTATGTGAATAAAATGTTTTAAGCTTTTTTTTCCTACCCTTAACTGTATTGCTATCACGTAGGAGGATAACACGCCCCCTATGTGATAGCAAAGAGGACGTGATAGGTCCTCTTTATGGAGACATTGGGGGACTATTAGACAGATCGGGTTTCATCAGCTTCTTTTCAGACCACAACAGCCAGAGAAATGACAGACCAAAACTGGAAGTGATGTAATACACATTGCTTCCAGGTTCAGTATTCGGAGGGGAGATCGGCAGGTGGAAGTGTGCTGATCTGACTCCAATCGAGGTGCAGAGACCTGTCGTGCCGGTCCCAGGCCCGTATGGGGATCAGCGGAGCCCAGGATAGCTGCGGTAGAGGGTGGAGGGGCGCACACCTAACGACTCCATACAAGTGATTGAGCGGCTCTACAGCTGCCTTAACGCTTGTATGTGACGGCCATTGCTGCCTGTAAAAAACGGTACCACACATGCACATAATCATGCATGATTCAGCACATGTTTGATTGAGACGCATAAGAGAAGTATTCTTGATGTTTTTCTGGAGTTCCTAATTCCCTAGAATAAGAAGCTGCATGTTATATTCGAGTGCCACTTTCATTTCTTTTCTTTCCTCTGTCTGTATCTTGGTGTGTTTAAAATATTTACAAAATTATGTTAAAAGTAAACAAAAACAAGCAATTTAGATGTAGGTCTTTATTCTGCAATACCATCTACAAATCTGTCTACAGTATATTTAGATAAAGTCTCACCCATTTTACAATGGCCTTGTGAGACCTTTAAAATACCAGATAATTTCCTTTGGTAGAAGGAAACTTAAATCCTTATAAAATCCATTACTTACTCATGCGACATCCAACCTTTACACATACGTTCCCTGGTATTGTTTGGATTCTGATTAAATTTGTAATCATCTGCATTTTAGGGACCTGAAGTTTAAGCTGGAAAAAGAGAGCAGCAAAAGAGAACTGCTGTCCAATGAAAGTCAACTGAACAACACTCACTGCATACACTGCTTGCAACCCTTCCAGTTCCTCATCAATAGTAAGCGCCAATGCAAAGACTGCCAGTTCTTTGTGTGTAAAAACTGCAGCCGCTACAACAAGAAGGAGCAAGGCTGGGTGTGTGACACCTGTAGGGCTGGAAGGTAAGTGACATATGTGTTGGGTATATTAAGTAATTCATGATTATGATACTGTATATAGATTCTGATTTAAAGTACACTTGTGTTTTGACCCACATAGTTCCTGGTAAAGCTTCACTCAAATACCCCACCCAAGGAGAACATACTCAATTTTCTTTCCCTCTCTGCTGCTGCTCCACTAATTTTTCAGGAGCAGGAGAAGCCACCTGTGACCGCAATGAGATTTGTTCACCCCAAAACTAGTCAGAAAACCCTGTGGTCCCCTCAGTTTGTTGAAATTCGTCACTTCTAGACATGATTAAACCAGCCTACTGAGTAAACATTTGTTTTTTTAAAAGTCTTTAAAGGTCTTCAGTTGCACTGTAACTGTTCTTTTTATGGTTTTATGGCCAACCTTTTAATGTGGAATCATAATGCACTGAGTATCCAGAACACTAATAAGTTATCAATTGACAGATCCCCTAGTAAGTGGATTTCACCTACAATAGATGTCTGGACTGAATTCATAACTTTGGACCTGAGAGGTCTAATTAATAACAAATCTATACAGTATGTAGATGTATCATGAAACACTGGTCGGATACATACCATGCACCCCTGTCTTATGAAGTACAGAGGGCCAAAGACATACATTACCTCTTCTGAGGGAGCCAAACCCCACAGGTATGTCAAATCTGGTATGTATAAAAATCTATGGTTTATCAGATCATAGCATGTGGGTAAAACAAAATACTGTATGTCTGCATTTAGGAGACTGACATTATGGGAGGGCTCTTCAGCTCTCCTGTCTCACACACCTGGGCCATTCAGATTGGGTGGCTGGCTCAGTTACATCCTCTAGAAGGCCCACAAAAAAGCTGCTGCACAAGTCAGCCGGAGATCTCCTTTATCATTAAGAAAAGAACATCTGCCAAGAGACTTGTTCTTAGAACGCCAATGTTGGATCCATTTTATGTTTCACTGCCTGGCCTCTGCTGGACTCATAGAACAAAGGACATGGGTTAAGCAACTTCATTCTTATTCCCTTTTTGTTTTGCTGTTGTATTATTTTTCTCTTGTGCTTGAAATTTTGGTTGAGAGCTGACATAAACACACTGGACTTCCTGTTTTTCACCAAAATAAAGAAGGGTTATAACCACTCCCACACCAGCACAGTAGAAGAGGAGAAATCTCACCAATAGGATTACATCAGCAAATAAAATTTGACAAAGGTGTTTACTTTTTCCAAATCTATTCAAATAAAAAAATAAAAAAAATAAAAAAAAGTTTTGAATGGAGTTGGACTGCTTTTCTTAATGAAGTCTTAACAGTCTATTGCCAGCCATAGTAGGGGCTTATAACTGCAAATAAGCACTGTGCAAGAATGAAATAAGCACTTAAAATGGATTATAGATCTAATCCTGGATAGAGTACAGCAGAGAGGAAAAACAGATGCATACACTGTAATAGCTTAGAAAATGTAATGTTTATTAGTAATTGAGCGTATTAGTATTTTATCCTCATGTCCTGGAAGCTAGCTCAATTCTAGTAGCAATTTAAATATTCCTGCATGTGTCATGGTTAGCGAAAGCTTAACAACATAGGGGTTCATGTAGATCGCCTTTAAAGGGCTGCCCGAACCCCTCCTGCATCATCGTGCAGTCAGCTTACAGAGGGGTTAACAAAGCAACATATACAAGGAAGATTAGCTTTTCATAACCTTAGTTGTGAGATCCTTAGCTATCGCATTCTGTGGACATGTACTGAGGAGTTACAGCCATAATCATACATCATCTTTACTCTTTCCAGTCAACTGGTATTACACTACTAAGATCAATAACCACATAATAACCACAAAAGGCACACCTAGGCTGGGGGAGGTATGGCTGAAATAGGGAGTTTGTCTCATTGTCAGTATAACTTGAGCTGAAGCCTGGAAAATAGGGCAAACCATCACCCTACTGTTCTATGATGTATGGGCCCATAGTGAGTGAACTGTAATTACACAGGCAGCACCACAGTCCACCATCAAAAATACACTAAGAACAGTAGGAATGTGTGGCTAATGTTAACATAATGTGTGGGTGGCTAATAGGCAACATTGTGCAAGTGCATGACTTACGCTAAGTAGTGGATATGCATGCCTAATTCTTTACTGCATGTTTAAAATGGCCAGCTTTTGTAGAAAAAAAACACCAGCAGCTAGCCAGCTTCACCTCTACGGTCCAGCAGCCATGATTTGACCCCATGTGAACTCTCGTATAGTTTGGATAATTCGTAGCTGATTATAACAGCCACCCAGTTCACAGAGTATGTAATCCATTACAGCCTGGAAATATGATACATCTGTTCAGTTAAGAGACTTGGAATGACTTTTGTTGTTTGGACCCCAAGAACTCTGCAAACAGCCTATCCAGTTCTTCCTGTTCTAAAATAAGCAATTCTCATGAATGAATCACATCAAGTATGTAAAAGTTTACCTATGACATAAGGAAGTATAGTTCTGACTTTTCCTCTCACTATTGTTCACCTTAGTCTGCTTTCACACTGAGCAGAGTGTATTTCAGGTGTTTTTTTTTAAGTTTTGACACGAATATACAAGCATTTTAAGGCTTTTTACAACCTTTTCACAACTGTTTTTGCTTTTGTATTAAGCTTCAAACATATTTGTTTTGATCTATGGAAAGCAGTTCTAGAGGAGGAAAGCAGTTCTTCATTTGAAAAAACGTGCCCAAAATTGTACGTGTCATAGGTGCAACCACTGAAGTCTATTGGGCCAAAAGTACCTGCTTACACTAAAAAAAAAAAATGTTTTTGAGTGTAGGGCATAGAGTGTGGGGTGACTGAGCATACAAGTGTGAACAGGAACAAATAGAAAGAATGGGATTCTGCATGTTGAGCAAAGTCAGGCATAGGGAAACAAGCTGGAAAATACTCAAGCGTGAATGGAACTTAAAGCTTATAGCTGTCTTTTTGGGTTAATAGATACACTTCACCAGCAAGTCAGCATAATTTATCTAGCTGTAGGGGTTGTACCTACAGTATGCGGCTTGAGAGTCTATAGTGTTTTTAGGTAAGACTTTTCTGCCTTCTTTTACTTTTTTTGCACAGAATCTGCACTACAAGGTTTTACAGGGTTATTCACAAAAGGGTGAAGAGTTTGGAGAAGGCAGGAGAAGTGAACAATCTAGGACAACATAGCTGAACTGGAAAGTGATCAGAATTGGAGAATTTTTCAAAATCAGCTATTTTGGCCTAGATTGTTCACTCCTCCTGCCTTCTCCAAACTCTTCACCCTTTAGTGAATAACCCTGTAAGTATCTAGAAGGGAAGTTCCTGCTACAATATAAAGAAAGGTACAGAGGCTATGTGCGGTGTAATAAAAGCCTATTTAGTTAGAACCAAAATAACTTCTGTGTCTATAAAACTGCATAATGCTACAGTTTCTGTATGTGTGAACAGACACAGGACACGTTTGTTAATATACTGCAAGTTTTTTTTTTCTGTGAAGCCAATGTTTAAAGGCTGCTGTATATTTTGCAGGATGGTAAAGATAGGGTCCCATGAATGGTATCAGGACCATGTCCGTTCACGCTTCAAACGCTTTGGCAGTGCCAAGGTGATACGTTCATTATATATGAGACAACAGCCTGACGCAAGGGGAGGATCCATGCTGTCAGGTGAGGATGAATTTGTTCTACAAAATGGTTAGTACTTGAAAAGTACAGTCATTGCTCCAGTCTTCCTGTTTTGTTGGATGTTCATACTAATGTAGAGAACAATGTCAGTCGTGCTTTCTGGCACTCTAGCAATAACAGTATCTGCATTTTCCCTATGCAAAAGGTATGAAAGGTAATTAATTCCTCATTCCGATCCCTCAACTCCTTAGAGACTTCTTTGAGTATTGCAAAGCTTTTGTCAACACATTCATATATGATGAATTAATTTAACATAGCTGTTTGACAAGTGTTGCCACTGGCTTACAGATTCATGGTGAATGATGGAGAAATGTGGTGGAGGGACCTCAGCTGAAAATATGGCAGAATATGTGTTTTGTAAATAAGTTATCGGCACTGGAGTGTGGTTTACCATACTTCCACATCACATGACGGTATGGTAAACCACAGGAGGGAAGAGGGAGAGAAGGACTAACAATATTAAAGAGGGAAGAGGGAGGGACTAACAATATTTCCATTTGTAAGCCATATCTCTAGTTTAGTGTAGAAACAGGAGTGATGCAAAAGTAAGAGCCCATCTTGGTTAAATCTCCAGTGTGCCCATTCTGTCCACTTGCCACAAATCCCTTAAAGGATAAGCTTATTTATAAATGAAATGCCTTAATTCTTTTTCTCTGAATTTGCTGTGCTTAACTAGCCATCCCTCCCCAGTGCATACTTACTTTGAAATCATGCCTATGGCCTCCGCTGTTGTTTATGTCTTCAGTGCGCTGGCTGTGCAGTAGCTTGTTGTTTATATCTTCAGTGCAGATCTTCAGTGCGCTGGCTGTGCAGTAGCTTGCCATAAGGTTCTATAAGGCTATCCACCAAGGCACCGAGGCATGACACAACCTGTCTCAGGGCAGTATATGTGTCTCAGGCATGTATGAACTCCAAGTAGCATATTATCTATACTTTTGCCAGCTGAATCTTGGAGAACCAACATGCCACCTTGGCTGGATTCATGCAGGAGGACAGTGTAGGTACACAGAAGAGTTGACCAAAGTGCTTCTTACAATGCCTCTGATTCTGTTTCTATAAGGGGGTCATAAGAATCAGGCTAGTATCTGTTGACTTATTCCTCTGGTGCTGTGGCACTATAACTGGAAGAAGTGGTAATTGTTATTTCTTAGAATAAGTACATGTACATTTATATACATTTACTTTTTTATATAATAATGTAAGAGCCTAGATGTATAATTGTTCAGTATTTCATACTTATGTATTTATGTACAGTTTTAAACACTGTAGTTATAATCATTGGTGCTTTAGCTAAAAGTCATTTTTCTAAACATACTTGACATTTCTATAATGCAAATCTATGTATACATATATCTTTATATAGGTCTTCAGGACAGAGTTTACAGCCTACCAGACATTAACAGTGAGTAATCCTCTGCAGACACCATAATACAGGGGCATTACACAGGGGAATGTGCTGATATTTTGTTAAAACTGTACTTTGCTCTATTAACATCTACCAAAAGCAGTAGAAAAGTGAGAATATTGATGTGTTCAACATACTGTATATTCACTCCAATGACAACTACCTACCATTTTAAGGAGCTTGGTCATTTACACCAAGGATCAGAAGTGTCAACTCATGGGCTACAACAAAGAGAACAGTGCCTTTACCAGAAAATCGATCTTTTGAAAACATGGTTTATAAAAAGGGGATCCACATGAAAGACCCAAGAAGAAAAGCTGTGCAGAGATGCAAGTTAAAATGTTAAAAGCAGCAGTATGTGTACACTTAAAAAGGAAACAGCCATATACTGCATGTGCAGCATTGCATCCAAAAACTTTATTGACCCAAGCGCTTTTGAACAAATGGGCTTATCAGTTCATGTAGACTGTGAAAGTCTGTGCTAGTACGAGAGGATAGATAGATAGATAGATAGATAGATAGATAGATAGATAGATAGATAGATAGATAGATAGATAGATAGTCGCACAGAGTTTATAACTCTGAATATTTCAGTTAACAATTTTGTATACCACCTTTGCTGATATTTTGTTGTTTTGTTTCTGTTAGGAGAATACCTGCGTCAAGCAAGGGCTGGAATGTTTGCAGATGATGATGATGAGGACATAGTGGACAGTGTAGAAGCTCAGCGCTATAGTATGGTAACTACACAGCTATCGCATTCATCATGCCGCGGTTCTGCTCAAAATTATGATTGACAATTTCTTATTGGTGATTAAGCACTGATTTCTAATTCATACAAAATAGATGTTTTGTACATTAGGTTATTAATGAAATTGCAAAGAAAATGATACATTGGTAACTCTACTCTATGGGTCTTTTTGCTCACAAGGAGCATGCCAGGAGATACAGAGGAGCACAAAGTCCAAACTAGCCTGTCTGCCATTCCATCAGTCATTCAAGTGGAGTTTACTTAGGCTTGAGGAACGATGATGGAATTCCAGATATTTGTAATTGGCCACTGTGAATGTGTATGTTATTTATTTCAAAATAAAAGGTTCCCGTTGTAAACAAAAATGTATCAGATCGTTTTGCTTTTGTAAGCGCTGGCCTTTGGTGGGACATGTTTTATTCACAATCATTTATATCGCTGAGAGCTAAAAGCCTCCAAGATGAGACCAAAAACAAAAATGACAGGAAGAGACTCTAGCCATATCCAGTAGTTAGTAAGCTAACTACCATTTTGAAAATTTAGAAAATATTTATGGTAGTAGACAACTTATCAGTCTCTAGAGCAGAGAAAGCTAAAAGTAAAGAATAATAAATAGGGTTACAATTTTCCTTCCTAATTGTTGTGTATTTATATAATAATTGCTGAAAGTTTGCTTAAAGTAATGCATCTCTGTAATTCATGGGCACACAATCAAAATTGTTTTTTTGTATCTTCCAATGACTTCACTTCATGATGCTTTTATCTTCTTAAGATGCGCAAGACCAAGCGCCTGCTCTCTGTGCATCCATATGACTTTGAAAATGACTCTGAGTATTCGGCTCAGTCTCGCAGACAGTCAGTGCAGTTGTCTCCTTCTCTAGATCAAGATGTTTTCCAGGTATTTCTCTGCTTTGGGTCTATCACTGATTAACCTAAATATCTCTTGATTGTTATGCTGGTCAGTAGTTTATATTTTCTTGGATGATTGAATATACACATACACAGTAATCCTCAATGTCTTGGGTGTTGGAAGTCACTGTATTTATGTATTCTGTATTACCTTTGTTGTACAGTCATTCTCTGAGTTTACCAGCTCTGGGAAAGATGTGGCTCGGAAGGAGTCTCTCGTTGCAGAGGCCGAGCTGGCTTCTGTGTTCCACCAGCTACTTCAGGAGCAGGGACAAACTATGGCTAATCCCGAGCAAGAGTTCAGTACCGAAGTCCGTCTGACAGTCAACTCACGACGCCGCAGTCTTGAAAACATCTGGAGGTCAAGTAAGTCACAAAAGACAGCAATCTGATACTTATAATATAAAATAATATAATGTATATCTGAAACTACTTTGCCAAAAGTATTGAGCAATGTAAAAAGGTAGATGAGATAGGACAAAGGATTGTAGTATATTGTTAGAGCTAATTATACTTTCCCGTAGACCTTTGTTGCACCAGGCTTAAATGCCTATTTTAAGAGGCCTGTGTAACAATTGTACAGTTCAAGTGTGTATATTTTTTAGTACAGCATTCCTGAGGGCTATAAGAAAATATGTTATGAGAAATGTTAACTTTGTTTTGATTTATCCAAGTATTTAATGCCCAGATGTCTACCTAGCTTTCAAAAGATAGCTTTGTGTCATACTTGCAGCAATTAGCTAGCATTGTCTTAAAAAGATATCCACTCTCTTACCAAAATCGAAGGATTTACTGAACTACCGGACTGTGGAAAATGTATTTCTTAATTTATTAAATGACACAGGATATAACGTTATGCTGTGCTGTATAATGAATGAAAGTAGATGTAAACTCAATCACTAAAATGTAATATAAACTTTAACAACATAATGTTATTTTAAGTCCTGTTCAACCTTTATAAATATGCAACTTTCATTAAGATAATACCCAGTGATCATGCCAAGAAGTTCATTGCACAGGCACTTCCTGTCATCAGGTTTCCTAATCATGCTCCTGCTTTGTCAAGCTATTATATGCTTCCCTGGTGGAGCCTGCAAGTGAATGTGTCGATACACATTGAGCAAGCATGGCCCACTGTTGTCACTATCAGGAAGACAATCCAGAGCAATGCTGTGCTTCCACATCTGGAAAGAGTGCACGTAGACAGGAAGTGACTGAAAGAGGCTACAAGAGATCAACAGCACTTAAGTGGGAAAAGGGAAGAACAAAAGGTGAAAACAGTATTTAATGAAAAGCAATTAAATTTTTTAATGATACACAGTTCACAAAGCAAGCTAAATGCCTTCTAGTTAAGGTTTATATCTACTACATCCAGTACTGTTGTGGATCTTCATATTGTTGGTAGTTATCTGCTGACAAGATGAACTGAACCAGCTGCTAGCCATAGTGGATGGGTATAAGACTCAACCGGAGTAGATTGTTTGATTTTTATCTATTGTCTTATTTGTCAACAATGAACAAATAATATTCTCTTATTTTGCTTACAATGAACGTTAAATCCCTTATCGGCAGATATTTTCCAATGCAACTGCTATGAATAATGCCTTATTTTTAACCTCTTTCCCTTCCCGCCTTCATTTTCCAGACCTTCCTTCTTTAACAGAATCCCAAGTAAAATGTCCCTTCCCTGAACCCCAACTAACTCGCACCCGCTATCTCCCTAAAGGCAGCCCTTCCCTTGTACCCAAGGGATCGCAGTACTCTGGCGATATGGACACTTCAGATGAAGAGAGGGGCGCCGCTCCCAAAGCACCCCCAAAACGCAGGAGTCGGGCATCTTCTCAAGAAAATGTGCATCATCCAGGCACTCAGGTAATATTTTGACTGAAGAGCTGATTAAATCCATGGCAATCAGCCCTTTAAGATGCAATGCAAGGTCCTAGAACTGATAACATCAGTCTACAATGTGGCCAGACAAAAAATAATTTAATGTAAAACAGGTTAATCTGCGCTTCTGGAGAGAGGTAGTGATTTGTAAACGGAATAAAATTAATTAAAGCTAAATAGATAAAAAATT